TACCAGACTACCCTATATCTAGTAAATGCTAGAGCATTCGCCAACGTACAGGATAGTTCTAAAACGTGGCGTGATAATAGTCACGTGATCTCGCTGACGCAACAATATTATTTTATTGGCTTATTTGGGTTGATAAGGGTTGATAACGCTTGTAACATGGACTTTACCGACTTAATAGGTTTCTAATTTTGAATTTAGGCAACATTTACACAAAACGTATGAAGTTTTAAGGTTAAAAAGTTTGTTTTGTGGAAAAACATTCCGCACCCAACATTCTGTCACGTCAAATCCTGCAAGCCTACATACTAGCACGTCAAATCCTGCAAGCCGACATACTAGCACGTTAAATCTTGCAAGTCTATATACTGGCACGTCAAATCCTGCAAGCCTACATACTGGCATGTCAAATCTTGCAAGCCTACGTACTATCACGTCAAATCCTGCAAGCCTACATACTAGCACGTCATATCCTGCAAGCCTACATACTAGCACGTCATATCCTGCAAGCCTACATATTAGCACGTCAAATCCTGCAAGCCTACATAATAGCACGTCAAATCCTGCAAGCCGACATACTAGCACGTCAAATCTTGCAAGCCAACATACTGGCACGTCAAATCCTACAAGCCAACATACTGGCACGTCAAATCCTGCAGGTCTATATACTGGCACGTCAAATCCTACAAGCCTACATACTGGCACGTCAAATCCTACAAGCCTACATACTGGCACGTCAAATCCTACAAGCCTACATACTATCATGTCAAATCCTGCAAGCCTACATCTATTTTCCATTAAACTTCGAGTCTTTTCGTACTATATGCATTTTAGTTTTGTAATACGTTCTAACCAAGAAATTTGTTTTTGTTGGTTTTGGATATTTGCCGTCCATAACTTTGAACTGATAGACTATAGGGAAGGCAACTAACTAGTCAACATCACCAACTGACAACTTTTGCCCTACTCTAATCAAATAGTGGGATTTGACTTTCAATCTTATAACGCACCCACAGCCACAAAATGTGTATCGTGATTGTGCTGGAACAGGTATCGAAACCCACCTTTTAGCGTTATAAGCCTTACCGCTGAGCCATTGGGAGCTAACAATTGCAATAAATTAATATAAATATACACATATAAATATTTGAACGAAGCAAGGGTTTTATTACCTTTGTGTTTAAAGTGAAGGATACACAACAGGCTATATGCATTTTGCTCACCTCGAGCATCGAACCCTGTTTTTTAGCGTTATAAGCTCTCAAACTTACCGCTGAGCCAACGGAGGGCTTTTCATTAAAATAATTTTACAAAAACATCTTTCAAAATACTGTAAAATATGTAAAATATTTCATATTAAGACAATTACATATCAAAGATGCTATCTTATCTCTTGGAGTAGATTCAACTTTAAACTTTTTAAAGTGTCATTCTGATGTTATATCAGTTTTATAACCCTATCTCCATTTGACATCGTCTACTTATTATATAACTATAAAACTCATTTTTGACCTCTGGTACTGAAAGAAACACGTCGTCAGCAGTGGGTTGGGTGGACATGGCGTGGTTGAAATACTATTATACACTCTCGTTTGGCGGACATGGCGTGGTTGAAAACCGTAAGGGACTAAACGAATAATAATGTGTTTAAAAACACAATAAGCCTGATATCATTGTCTTATGGCAAAGATTACTAATGATAAATTATTTATTTTATGCAATCTGCAGTCACATAAATGACAAACACTTGCGATTAGCCAATCACTTACTCAAAGTAAAAGCTAAGCTCTCCTCTCTGCTAGTTTAACATTAGCACGCTTAACTTCAATAAATGTAGATATAGTTTTTTTATAATTTTCTTAGTAACTTATACCTAAATAATTATAGAATTGTTAATTGAACGTTTATGGTTGATTAACTTAATCATATCTGTGAATTAATTGCCTTGTACGAAAATCATGCATAATAATGAATTTTCCACGTGCTAATAACTTTCAAAAACAACCAGTAGCACAACATTTACCAAGCACAAACTGGTTGTGTAACATCTTTCAATTTCATATATGTATAAGATATACAACAAGCACTAATAACCAAATATAGAAAAAAACTGCCTTGTTCGTCTGGACGACATCGACTACTGGCAACAATCATTGAAAACTGACATTTTTTGCTAGTTTCTTTCGAAACAACTTAATGTCACTGAGGCAATGACCAGTGATTATCTCCGCTCATCACACACTGAGCTGAGAACAAAAGCCAAAGATATTTGCAACGCCAAATTTCTGCGTTCCATCCTACATACACACTTTAGAGGCAACATTTTCATTTCAGTACGCGTTTCAACCGAAATGCTGAAAAAGTGTGTTAAGTAGATGTGAAACTGGACAAACATGGTATAGTTCAAGAGAGCCAATGCGAGTGTGGGGCAGGCATGGGACCTGAAGCACACTGTAAGCATGTGCAGTTAGTTCTGCTTGCTTTAAGCCATGTGAAGGATAGTGTGATTACCATGGAAACCTGCACAGAGAAATTGCAGACTTTTCGCCAAGTGAAAAAATACTTGGGTTCCTGTGAAGATAAACGACCTAAAGTTGCGAGGTGGCAAATGTCTTTCACATTTTCGAGACTTTGACCCTCGCCCTGTTGACTTACGAAACAGGTCCGAGTATCCATATCATGTTAGGAATGTCATGATGAGTTGTCCCACTACGGATGTGCCTATTGGACAGTTATATCCACCAGACAATATTCAGACACCAAAATATCACTTTTCATATCAACTCAAGGTTTCATTAATGTCAACAACAGAAGCAGAAGAATTGGAGAAACAAACCCGTGGACAAAGGGATAATAAACAATGGAAGGAGGAGGGACGACATCGCTTGCATGTTTCAAGTTTCAAGAATCTGCAAAGCCAATGATCTGACAAACCAATCTAAACTAGCATCTAAATTAGTCATGGATTTAAATATGAAAGTAAGGCTTTGGAAGACTACACCCTGAAAACAGAAAAGACTGCCATCGCTAGTGGCATCCAAATTAATTCATCATAGTCATTCCTAGGGTGATCACCAGATGGACTTGTGGGATCGGATGGCACTGTTGAAATGAAATGTTCCTTCATCGCCAAAGATTTCCAAACCACTTCATCAACTGTCCCATATCTTCATGAAGTTGACGGAGAACTGTATTTGAAGAAAGACCACGATTATTACAATCAAGTTCAGTCTCTTCGTTGTTTCAAAATGATAAAGTTAGCAAATTCGGTTATGTAAGCAGCACTAACTCGTTACATAAAGCTCAGCTACGAGCACTATTTATCGCAACACATACAGGCAAGAACACATAGCTTGACCATAAAAACGAATCAGTCACTTAGAACCAATTCTGAAAACATACAGCACATAGTTCTGTTACCAGACTGAGTTATGCAACAAGCATCACTTATTACAACATCCATAGATAATGTATGGCTCTACTGTCAAGTTATTTTAGTTAAACACCAGAAATTAATGCAACATATATAAATACAGTCAATAACATGCTATCCGACTTAGAGAGGGATTCACTCACCCAATATCAGTTGTCATAACACAGACAGATAGTAAAATGCAGCAAAATGCAACAAGGATATAATAGTACCCAACTTACCTAAATAACTACATCTCCCAAAAATAACCATTTTAAACACATATACTTTTATATGGTGGAAAATTTAAGCAATGAAGGAAGAATTCAAAGATGATATATTTCTACTTTTGAATACTTAAATTTCTACTTTATCACCCACCACGATCGTGCAGTGAAAGAAAGTAGACTTGTTCATTTAGTTGTGAACATGCAAAGGTGTAATCTTCTGTCATGATTATTAAATGGTTACCAAGAAATAGTAAATGTCTTTCAAAAAATAGCACTTGGAGTTAAAAAAGTTGTTACGAGAAAAGAAAATGAATCATGATATATAAAGTTGTTTTTTTTTACATGGCTTGTTCAATTTGACAACAGATATTGTCATCATAAGCATTAAACTTTACTTTCAAATTTCTATGAATCGATTTCTTTCTTTCTTTTGCAAAGATACACTAGAAAATTAATATATATATATATATATATATATTATAAATCAATAATAAAAACGCACATATACCTGAACCACACGATAAATCTTTACAACTATAATATTGTGAGTCTGGTTATTAGGCGAAAGCCAAAGAAATACATGTTATGGTAATAGTTTCAAGGTCTCTTCCTTTGTTTAAGAAAAATACATTTGACATAACACAGCAAGTTAGACTAGTTGCTTAGCAACTCAGCTCTTAAGAACAGTATTGCGACATTACGAAAATTACATAAGTAACTAGTGAAGGTGAATATGTAGAAAAAACAACCTACAGTCAGTACTGTTTCGCTAGTTTATAAAGTACACTGTACAAAATAAACATACGTGAAAAAGTTACTTTTTGTAACACATTTCTTCATTAATAAGGCCTAAGTAAGACTAATGGATTGTTCTGATATGCCCCCCCCCCCAGTGGCACAGCGGCGTGTCTGTGGACTTATACCGCTAGAAATCGGGTTTCGATATCCATGATGGGCAGAGCAAAGATAGCCCAAATCGGTTCCAAATACAATTTACTACTGGAGAAGAAATATAAAAAACTATGATATTGGGACATGTGTTGTTGCCATGAAACTGATTACTCCAGCAAAAGGGTTAAAAGAAATGAGAACTGACTGATTGGAAGAATGCTTTGTTATAAGTAAACTCTTCACAACAACACCTATGTATGTGAACAAATCTCAATTACATAAACATTTTACATAATGAATTAAAAATGATAATTTTAAAGGATATTTGTATTTATCTTATAAAGTTCTTTAGTTTTCATTCCTTCTCACTGACATAGAAGTAATAATGAGCTAGTGTTTGAAGTGGGGTGGGATAAAACGGGTTCTCATCTCACTTCTTTTCAGGAGGGCTCAAAATCGTCCCGCCACCTTTTAGTAGCTTGTAAGCTTCTCAGAAGGGATAGGTTCAATAGACGATACAATATGTATTTACAGCGGCGAGGAACTGAAAAGAATAACTATATTTGTTTTCTTAAAGTGTCGTGTAAGAGCGAGGCAGCAATGAAACAGGGTAGTACATGGAGGAAGCAAATCAACCCTCTCGCTACGGACTTGGTCAGTGTGACCGAGTTCATAACCACAAAGTAACCATCAAAGTTTCCATACTATAAATCGTAACAGTATACACCAATTTATACTTAATTTTATTTTTTATTGCCCTTTGAACAGTTTTTCACCAAAGATCCCGCCACACAAGTTGTAACTCACTCGGCGAATGTGCAGTTCATATTACCGTATCGAATTATGTAAAGCACCAGTTGCTCGCCAGTATATGTCGCGAATAATTTTTATAATTGGTATTATTTTCATTATCTTGCCTAATATAATCTAATAAGTTTCCAATTTTCATTTGAGTTATTTCATAATAATAAGGCCCGGCATGGCCAGGTGGTTAAGGAGCTCAACTCGCAATCTGCAGGTCGCGGGTTCGAATCCCAGTCCCACCAAACATTCTCGCCCTTTCAGCCGTGGGGGCGTTATAATGTGACGGTCAATCCCACTATTCGTTGGTAAAAGAGTAGCCCAAGAGTTGGCGGTGGGTGGTGATGACTAGCTGCCTTCCCTCTAGTCTTACACTGCTAAATTA